TAATACATTTGTTGTTGGCAGTACTTGTATTGCATCTTTTAGATAGTATGGTTTGCACAGTTATGGACGCGGTATGTAAGTTTAAATAGTGAACAGATCAGGTAATGAAAAGTATGATCCAAATTGGTGTATAGAAAACTTCAAAATAATGAAAATATTCAAAACCGTACAGTTTTGAATGACATAATCACTGACTGTACTGAATAATATATTACATATTTCACTAATTTTTGTCTGCTAATTAAATAAAAATTACATGCTTGGAGAGAGCCAAAACATTTAATCAAACTTTTCCATGGAGTATAAGATTGAATCTACAGCGCAGCGCAGTATTGTTGATTGTTATATTGAAGTCTGATTAAGTTGCTCTTTTTTTTATGCCGTGTAACACAATCGTTTTATTACAAATTATTTTTGTAATCAACATTTAATGTACAATATTGTAAACTGCACAATAAATTTTTATAAACGCAATCTACATATAAATTTCAAGTACTTTATATGCAATTGTTTGCATGGAATCGTACAGAATTTGTAAGCAGTGACATCCGGAATATTATTATAAAACATTATGCAAATTATGAGACGAATTTTAAATTAAAGAGACAAATAATGAATTTTATTTAACGAGTATCGCGTAAACCGGAACGAAGACCGTGGATAAATTTATATAGAAATATACAATGTTTCTCATGCGTTTTAATGTTTACGGTCATTTATTCACACTCCTTTTCTCGATTTATAAATATTCTAAATTATACAAGTAACTTCATTTTTCATAAATCAATGGAAATAGTGGCTTCGTGCAACTGACGCGAGATTCCATTATGAATTAATCATCAACGATAGAACAGAAAAAGCGAAGAAAAGAAAAGGAAAATAAAATTCTGCATTATTATTAGTATTATTCATTCTATAGGCCAAATATAATTACTATAATTGTACGAAAAATGTAATCACAAAAATAACAAGTTAATGAGAATGCAAATGCATGTTGGCAGGCATATCGATATTTGAAATCTTTTGAATTTGTTCGTACATATTTCAGTTATTTTGTCGCTTCATTATCAATGGAATGTTCTCTCTTTATTTCACAAGTGTTCTCTTATTTATTCTTTCTCTCCATAAATTCTGCAAATGCATTTTTCATTGTATCTGCTAACCAGCTCCGCTGCCAAACATGATAATAACACTGTACCCTCGCGCTTCTACAAAGTATATATTATATATTTATTTCTTTTTTTAATATATGCAAGACTTGATGAGTGCTCGCTTTCATTATTTTTAACTTGTATGCTTGTTCTGTTCATATGATCGCACTGTCCATAATAATATACGTATTATATAATATATGACACTTTTCTCTGTATATATAACTGTACTTCAAAGTGCTGTAAACTGCAATTTTTTTCATCAGGTTTTGAGGATACTATTTGCCCAAAGAATTTTGCAAACTTTATGAAATTTCTATAATTTTATTTGAATAATTTTAGCCTTAATCGTTTGTAAACTTTAGACCTTGAAATATAAATAAATTTATAAATAAAAAGATGAATTTGCTGTCTGTGCTTAGATAAATAATATTTATATTCTGCCATTTAGAAACTATGCATATAGTGAAATAGTATTTTTCTCCCTTGTAGTCAATAGTAAGAATTTCCATGTTTCTCAGTCTTATAAGCAACAAATGTTCTCCATAGAAAGCTGTTCATTTAGACTCATTTTCTTTTTAAATTAGTTTCAATCTTACATCTTATTCTGCGACCTCTGTACAATTGTAACTCCTCACAGTTAGCAAACTTTGTAAAATTTGTTACAAATAAGTCGTAAGATACTTAAAAAAAGAGGACCTTTCCATACAAAAGGAAATACTATTCAACTCATCTGTACCGTGTCCAAAAATATTTCTGACCAATATATATATATATTACTTTACTAAACCTTACACCCGTTAAGGTTTATTATCTAAATGACTTTGCATATGCAAACAAAATTTTTTTATTCCGTTACTTAGATAGTCTTTTCCTTCTTCTTTCGCTTTCTTCTTTTGCTTTCTTAATGAGAATGAATCTTCATACTGTGTGTTTAATATGAAAAGCCATCTAATTTGAAAGATTTAATTCGTTAGAACAATAACTGCCAATGAAGTCCTCTCTGCTTGCAATTGTAAATATCAGAAGGTACAATATCAATCTAATTGCGCACTGTAGTCGATGCATGTTGAAGTCTTTCTAGTTCTTCCAAGGATAAAACATTTGTCTGGACAAGCTCTGGAAGCTTACCAGCCCGTGCTTGGGCAAGAAGTTCTGGACTAAACCATCGTGCCAATTGATTTGAAGTCGGTGAAAGATCTCCACCATTCGTGCCCACGTATCCTAAACCGGGTGACGTTTGACGACCTACGGGCATGTTTATTTGCTGTGACCGCATTACTCGGCCATCTGTGGAAAAAATGTTAAACAAATTCATTCACCGTGCTATTCCGATCTGGTAAATAGAACAGAAAATTTTAATGATCATATTAGCTATCTCAGAATAAGATACAATCAGACATAAGTAAGTAAAAACGTTATCGGGTAATACGGATGAATGTGCGTCATTGTACGTGTTTCGAAAGGGGGAGGAGGCAGCCTAAAGAAACTATCGGTTCATTACTTCAAGTTCAATCCAAAGTTAAATGCTGTTTAGACTGGTATAAATAATGGAAGCATCTAAAGTATGAGGTTTAATTATTCCAATTTTTGAACACCATTGCATGCAATTTGATTAATCAAGAGGAAGACACCTGAAAATGTTTCAGAATAATACAGTTAATGTAATAATGTAGTAGAATACAGAAAATAAAGTATTGTAGTAACGTTGAATAGAAAAGACGAATGTGCCTAATAATTTGTACTGTTACTTAATCAACTTACGGATCTACAAAGTAATATTATTATCGTCTCCTTATGCAATAAAGACCATTATAGTTACCTGTACGACTGGAATTGTAGTTTTGATTCAAAACCATTTGCATTTGCGAATTCAGTGTCCGTTGTTGCTGTTGTTGCTGTTGTTGTTGTTGCGGTTGGTGCTGCATATTTGTGAGATGCGATTGGGCCTGTTGCACTTTCATTTGATTGTTCATAGTGTTTGACCTTTGATTTATCATTGAATTTTGAGCAATATTGTATTGCGATACATTGTGATGCGGCATTGTAGTAGACATGGTATGTTTGGAGCGTGCAGGGTTACCATACACGCTTGAAACCGTTCTATGCTGTTGTTGTTGCTGTTGTTGTTGGAAATCTGAATTCCCGCTGTATTGGGATTGGTTACCAACGTTACCACCACCTTTCACTATTGGCCGACCTGCAACAAACAATGTACGTATCAATGTTTGACATATGCTTTCTTATCATTTTATGTGAGAATACATAATACATTCAGAAATATACCTGGATGTTGTTTAATACTTGGATTCGACCATGTGGATTGTACAGACTGCGGCCGCAATACATTATGTCGAGAAAGTACACTTTGAGTCAGTAACTGAACTGCAGATTGCATCTGTTGCACCTGCGATACCTGCGACTGGCTCGCCAATTTTGATGGATCATTACTATTACCTACAAAGCAATATAAAAAGAAAATAATAAGCAGAGCTGTATTTATGAATTACGTAAATGTAACATAATTATACCATCAAATAAGGTATATATTAACAATTTTATGAGTACATCCATACATCAACTGTACATACTAAAATTTAAAAGCTTATCGAAGTACAACATTTTTAATGACAAATATTTGAAAATATTTTTCAAACAAAATATCACGTGAACAAATGGAACAGAGTTGTATCTTCCACCATGGTGAAAAATAAAACGAAGTCATAAACAACATAAAAACAAGACAAAAACTACTACTCCTTTTCAGAATTAGTAATTAAATTTCATCAAAGTCATTGAAACACATGGAAAGAAAAATGTCAATAGTACGTTTTCGGAACTACCAAACATCATAATTGATATTGGTATTAACATTGTAACCGCCACTCAGTTCAATACGCATGCAATTACCTAAACCATATTAAATTACAAAAGCCAAGAAAGCACATGCATCAAAATTGAAATGATGTTAAAGCAAATCCATTACAGGAAAATGAAAATGTGTAAAGGATAACTTAAAGCATGAAATGTATTTATAAAGCTTTTTATTTTAAAACTATTCCAACATACTTTTCATTTGCAATACGTTCATATATTGATCTATGAAAAATGATTAACTCATAATAGTAACCTTTAGTAGTATCAGTATTATTCTCAAAATTAAAAAGACTTATTTTCATGTGCATCATCTTTGGAAAATTACAGGCAAATCGACTTTTAAACACGTTAAAGGTGTCAAGCGAACAGACAGAAAGGAAAGAAAACAAAATTCTCATTACTTATTTTAATATAAAAAATAAAAATTAATTTTACATTGGATAATAGTCACAGATTCCTGAATTCTCTTTCCTATATTGTGAAGCTGATTAAACACACTCGACGTTTCAAGCAAAAACTTAGTCGTTCTCTAAATTTTGAATTTTTTTTTCCTCCGTTTTTCCTACCGTTTTATCATTCTCGACTATTATCGTTTCCAATTCAAACTGTTCAGCCAATGTTTTGTCAAGGATAAGAGGGCTATTATTATTAGCATCGCTTATATCCGTCATAGCAGACATTTTAGTGGGCGTATTATCAATCAATAATTTTACCGTCTCGTCAGTGAGAGTATCCTTTGAAATATTTGAATTTGAATTTGAATTTGAATTTGAATTTGAATTTGAATTTAAATTTGAATTAGAATTTGGATTTGAATTATTATTTGTATCTTTGTTTTGCTGTAAAAGAGACAGATATTTGGTCTTTAATGCGGATTCCTCGACTTCTACATTGAAGTTGTTATTCAACTCGTGTAACGGGTTCGAATGTGAAGGAATGATCTCAGCTACAGTACCATGCTCTTTAGCGTTATGATTAGTAAAAAGCTGTATTGTGTTGTCAGGGGAAATGGACATTCGTGAATCAGTGGGCTTTTTGCACTGATTTGCGTTATGATAATTATTACGGTTTTCATTAATTGAAGGAGAGTAGAGAAAAGCAGATTCTAATTGATGATTAGACTGATTCGCACCCTCAGGTTCCTTATCAGCAGTCATTTTACGTAACACTGATGTCGGGGTAAAAGCGAGCGGCGTTGGGCTCATAGTTTGCTTCGCCGGAGAGTTAACAGGACTCGTCGTCCTCTGTTGAGCTTGCTGTTGCTGTTGTTGCTGCTGTTGCTGTTGATCCTGCCGCTTATTACGATGCTCCTCCAACTTTTTCTTAATTAGAGCATTTTGCATTATAGTCTGAGCATGCATAGCAATCTCCCGCGGCGAGGGAACTCTATGCTGCATCACTGTTAAATGAATAATAAAAAAAATCATGCATATTTTAAACCAGTAGAATATTTTTAACGAACAATCTTCGAGGCAGATATTTTATTAGAAAACCTCTGTTTCGTACGAAGCAAAAATAACGATTCACAACTTGTTTCGAGTAGTCTATTTGGTTAAGTCACGAATCACTTGAGCGTGTTCAGACAATATTCGATTCGAATATATTTTAAGTAAAAAATGATAATTAATATTTTCTCTTTCTCTTTTGGAATCCAGTTGTCCAATAGACATAAAATAGCAACATAAAAGAACATTTATTGTTATTGAAAATTCTACCTGGATGCTGCACTGTCAATGTGCTGGGGCTAGCAGTCAAATTTGGAGATATTATTGAAGGTGGGCAATAAGCTGCATTCCAAATGTTATCATACATATTTATACTATATGTACTACAATATTCATAAGTATCTACGTTTAAAGACCAGTGTAATTAATAATTAAAGAAAAGCACACTACAATCCCGTACTAATTTTTATGAAGAAAACGCAACAAATACATAAAACAGTATAAACTCAAAATATTAATAAAACAACCGATTAAGTTTGAAGAAATTAAAAGACTGAATACAAACAAAAAAAATTAAAAAAATATTAATATGCGAAGAATACGTAGGGAAAGCAGACAAGAATAATGAAAGTAAAATTACTTTAAGAGTTAAAAACTGCAATGTTCGTATCGAGTAAACAATGATTCATAACTCACCACTATTCATGGGGGATGGAATTCTCTGTTGTTGCTGTTGGTACAACATTTGTTGCAAGATATGGTCTTGAGGAGTAGGTGCACTAGGATGTGGACTTACGGTACGCGGAGTAGTACCACCATACATTTTTAAAATATTAACTAAAACTTCTCTATGACGGTGTTGGATGGCTGGGTTCTATTAGAAACAACATTAACGGGAATATGTATTGAACCATTATAAATGACTAATTATGTTTGTAAAATTGATAATCATAAAATAACGGTACTCGTATTACATACAAACCTGCAACTGTTGTATCAGATGTTGTCTAGTTATTTCTCCTTGTTGAAGACCCTGAATAATAGCTTGAGCTTCTGGTCTCTGTAATAGTTCTTGACTCGTAGGTACACTATTAAGCATCATCTGCATTTCCGGTGGTACAGGACTCACGGCCAACATTCGTTGGCCACCCATCATTAGTGACAGCATGTCAGAATGTTGTTGGTGTTGGTGCTGTTGCTGTTGCTGTTGTTGCTGCTGTTTCTGCTGCTATTAGATTGAGAATGCAAGAAGTTAGAAATTTTTTACTTTGTTACATTATCAAATTCTAAAACACCAACCTGCTGGATCTGTAACACTTTCATTAAATTCTCATGTTGCATCTGTGCTTGATGCGGATGTTGAGTTGGTCCAAGAGAACCAACGTGATTGAATGTCGGGTGAATTGGTTCTGGGACCGATTGCTGAGAAGCAATTGGTTGAGTTTTTAGTTGAGAATTAAGTAACTACAGAAAATAAAATGTTGTTTAGTATAGAATAAGATATTAGCTAATTACGATAAATGAAGAATAAAAGTACGATCATCTTACTTGCATTAATGTTACCGGTTGCTTTTGAGAAATAGGACCATTCGCTGCTGGTATAGCTTGTCCTCCAGTCACTTGCGCAAGCTACATTGACAAGTACAACAAAAATTATGAATCCTCTCTAAACGGATTGATTAGTTGCAATATTATATTTGGAGAATTACCAATTTTTTAAAAGCAGAGAGATCTTCAGTCTTATTTACACGAGATTGATCAATTGCAGATGTAGGCGGTGGAGCACCACCTCGCATATGCGCCTCTAAATCCTCCAGACTGTGTACAACTTTTCCACCAACTTCTATAAAAAAGGTTCATGTTACTTACCATCCTATCAGTTTAGAAATCGAGTGACAATTCAACAAACCCTCACCCATATCTTTAATAGTCGCATTCTTCATTAATGGTACAACGGTACTTGTCGCATCCCCTTGGCCGTTCTGACTTGGTTTATTCCCACGTTGTAACATTTCTAACAATTTCACTCCAGTAGTAGACGACGTAGTAGCATTCGTGGTCGTATTGGCAGGAGAAATAGGAGCAAAGTATGTGTTAGATTCGGTTACCGATGGGATCTGAATATTTGGCTCGGTAATATCGTTGAGGAGATTGTTCAGTATATCGTCCTGAATAGAAGTTCTGCGGCTATCAATTTGTTGAACCGGACTTTCTCTTTTAAACCACTGACTGAATCGTGAACAAGTTCCTCCATTTGAACCGACGCCATTCTGAAAACAAACAAGACATAAATAGAATGAAAACTAATTTGTAGCTTGATACGATACGCGAATCGTTTTGTTTATTTAATATCTTACAGTTAAGAGTCCAGGAACACCAGGAAACGTGTCAGACTTCAAGAAGTCATCGAGATTGAAATCGGGATGCGAGTTCTCCTGATTTTGATTGGTGCTATTTGAGTTAGTAGTTGTTTCGGAACTCGGTTCAGTCACACTACTTTCGTTCGTGTCATGATTTGTTTTCTGCGCGAGAGAAGATGATTCGCTTTGTTCCGAAATGGGCGAATGAGGTGCAGCCACAACGTTCATGGGTTGATCCATCGTAGTCGGGGTGCTACGCCCTTTAGGGCCAGCGGAATTTTCTGTCTGCTTGTCATCTTTCTCCAAAGAATTCTTTTTCGCGCGTTTCTTTTGGACCGCGGTCTGCTTTTTGTTCTTTGCGTTGCTATTGTTGTTCACAGCTTTCTCTTCGGGAATATCCTCGAAACCTCTTAACTCGATGGTGTCGTGTTGAGACGTCGGCCCAGAACTGAACCACTCCGGCTCGTCCATATCACTGCGATTCTCGCTGTAAGTTCGCCTACGATCATTGCTGAATCTCCGTTCTCGCCCACGGTCTTTCTCACGATCTGATTGATGATTGCGATCATTCCGCTCAACACCTCTGTCCCGATCCCTGTCTCTCTCCCTGTCTCCGTAGTCACGACCGAAAGATCTTCGTTCGTAACGCTCGTTCCTTTCGTCCCGTTCACGCAAATTGTCACGTTCCCGATCCCTCTCTCTCACAGTCTCTCGATCCTTTCCATCACGAGTATTTCTGTTGTCACGATCGCGTATAGAGGTTCCCCCGGTTGCTCCAGGTCGAAAGGCAAAATCCGTGCGTTCTGGTTCAAGTTTGTCGTTCTCAGCTCTAAAATTCCAAATGTCGCGAGTCAAAATCCTACCGCTTCCGATTCGTCGAACAGGTTCCCTGTGGCTGACCTGAAAATAATCTTCGGTCTAGTAACTTTCAAAGTGGTAATCGTTCCACAGACAAATCTCCAATACCTCTGTTTTTCCTATTGGACTCTCAGGGCGTCGATTGGAAGGTTGATTCACATTAACGAAACAACCCGAATTAAAACTTCTACGTTGAGGGCTCAAAACAATGCCATCTTGCTCTTTACGGATTCGTTCCCGCGGATCTCCGTTACGACGTTTCGCATGATTTTCAGTCACTTGATCCCCACGTTCAGTCCTTTCATCTTTTGGCGGTGTCTCACTCCGCTTTCTACCCGAATGCCAACGTAGAGGATCCCATACACCACTTGAACTTAATAATAATTCAAAGGAAAACAAAATTAATATCGCTAATACGAAATTAGAAGTAACAAGTTTAATATTGTAACAAATTTATACAATACTGTACGCACTTGTTATATGAACTATCTAAGAACTCAGATCTTCTCTTTGACAGCGGTAAAGTTTTTATTATCATTAACTCCTCCTGCAAGAAATACAGAGAAATTAGTATTCAGTGTAATTATTCAGAAATAGTCTTCCTTACATATACAGTACAAAAATAAGAGTACAATGTATTTGCCATACCCGGGAATACTGAAATTGAGGTCTTGAACGGCCCACTTCCATAATTGAAGTGTCGGTTACCTCCCCACCCACCGACATTGATATAATTGCTTCATCTCCTACAAATTAAAAAAGATACAAATACCGGTAAGTTATTAAAATTTTATACAATACGCATCATTATCATTACTATGTTTGCCGTTCCAATTGTATTGATACTCCTTAAGTACTATTACAGCATACATGTTTATGCAACTGTAGATTTTTACAAATTAATTCACAGGAACAAGGAAGGACTTTATTTGTTTTATTCAGAGTTTTCTTAAGTTTCAAACACAATTAATTCAATGTACTGAATCTCAAACTGGGGTATAATTATTATATCTTTTTGTAACAATTTAAAAGTAAAATCACACTATTTCGAATAGAAATGTTGCATAAAAAAAAAACAAACTTCCCATTGAACATACATATTTTTGAATTAAGTATAGCTGTTGGTTTGTGTACAAACTTCTACCAAGCTTCGACATTGGCGCAAGCCGGTAACGGAATGGAAATTTGAACGCGCGGTCCGCAACGTTTACCTCGTACGAAAATCCCTAAGAAGACGTCGGTACTTACGAAAGGTCCCACGTTTAATAAAGCTGACAGATTTATTTTTGCGGGACCATCGGCAGGATCTAGTCTGCGTGAGCAAAGTCGCGTCTAGAAACGGAGATCCCGTCGGTCCTACCAGCGGACGTTTCCATGATCGCCGATACCAATTCGAGAGAGCAATGCCACGCGATTCTAACTTCATTTTCCTCGGAAATTTCTCTTAGACGACTTTCTTTCGAGAATTCCACGGGAAACGATTATTTAACGGTTCCAACCGTTCAAACAGTCAAACAAATATTTATTGCGCGAAGGACGAAAAGGACGAAGAATTACCGTTCGTACCACTTAATAAAGTGTACAACCGACGAGCCAAGCAAAATAAAATATGCGTACACACATATATACATACGTCGCAATGTATGTACGCGCGATCGAGTCCGTTGAAAAAAAAAAAGTATTATGTTCCCTCGTGATTATTTCACCCGGCAGGTATTAAACCATTAGATGCGGATTTTAAGTATTTAGAAGGCGCGCAAATAAGTTGAACGAAGTAAAGTGAAACTTTGAATGCGAATAACGCGAACTTTTTGTTTCGCGTTTAACGGACGATAGAAAATGTTTGTTCAACTTCGATTTTTGTAAAACAACGGACTACAAAAATATAAATTTCGCGTAAACGTCCACAGTCTACCAGTCACGTCCGAATAACAGACGATATACGTGAAGGCAAAAAATTGATCGGGAAATCACAATATCCGTGTAAAAGTGATCGTGAAAGATCGAACGATTGTTCTTGTACTTGTGCACTATCAAACGACGTTTCGTTGCGGAAATACGGAACTCTCGTCTATTCTGTTTACATCCATACAACCGTGCGCCTAAGGTACGAAATTCTTAATTTTGATACTACGCGTCGCCTAGCACGATACAAACTGAACTAGATGCCGATGGTTTTTAGGTAGCATGAGTTTACCCGCGATCCAATCAAGTACGACCCCCAGAACGTTATTGTCAACTGTATGTTCCATTGGTTCTGTTTTGGGGAACGTTCAAACGCAACTTGTAACTGATATCTTCGATAAGCAACGATTCGTGTAAATATACACGCATTTATTTATTCCTACAAATTATTCGCGAATACGACGGTTATCTTTGGAAATGTTTCAACAAGGTTTTTCAATGAACTGTAACATTTAATAGTTCAATGTATAAGTATGGAGTATGTAAATTCATGGATTGAAACGGTTATATTGTATCTAATAAATGTTTAGTACCGTAGTCTCTTGATCGGACTTGGATTTAAATTACTCTATAAGAATAATAAAGATTAATAATAGGATTACAGTGAGCGCACAGTTTCTGTATGTTTGTAAGTTAGTACTTTTAAAGGTATAAATGAATTTTAGAAAATTTGACCTTTAGTCACTCGGGTAAATACATTTCAATTTTCAAATTAGAAATTCTCTGGAAAATTCATTTTTCTGAAATAATGGATCGGTCTCTGGTTTAAATACAATAGAAATATAACGCAAAAATTGTATTATTCTATGTACTTAAAGTATAAAAATATATAGGACTTTAATGAACATAACCACTAATACATTTAAGAAGCTTGGTTACACGTTTCATGTTTTCATCGTACACTGTTGGTTTCATTTAAAACCCCTGAATCGTCTACGGCAAACTCTTTTTACCAAGCAAAACAATCATTAGAGTGACAGACAATATTTTTAATCCAGATAAAGGTATGAAGCAAATAAACAACAGAGGTTACTGGATACATGAAATATAGAGATTAAAATGAAACTTGAAATCTAGATGAAAAACTAGATGTTCACGTTGAAAGAGATATAGGCAAAGTTAGAGGTAACAGAAAATAAACTAATGAGGCCCATACCTTCATCTTTTGGAGTTGGCAGTTGCTTGTCATTTGTCACAGACTCCTGAGACATTCTTCTGCTCTTTCTTCCTCGAGCCAGGTTTATTCCTCGAGCCAGGTTTATTCCTCGAGCAAGGTAAAATTCACAGCTCGCACTATACGGACTTAACGCTTTTCTAGATCCTTTATGTGATCTATCTACGTCTCATACGCCATACATACGTATAGCCTTAGTACTGTTTAGTATCACAGATTGGTTTTCCCTTCTATGTCGCGATTTTCTCTTTAAGCGCAAGAAAGAATATTCGATCGGGCGAACTCGATTGCTGCTCGCCGATATTGTCCCCCCCCCCTATACAATTCTAATATCGACAGATTGGGCCACTCTCGCTCGATGAAAAGAGAAATGAGGAAAAAGTGTTTACGTGCTACGGGCTGTACGGACTTATGCACGATAATAAAGAAGACGAACGCAAAAGGAGCTGATTGCGCGAGATTCGAGGCACGTGTTCCCGAAAATCATTTCATTTATCGAAAAACGTCTCCCGTCTAATTATTAGCAATTCATCGATTTCTATCACACAAAATGTACACACACAACACTAGTTCACTGCTATGCAAAAATAGAAAATGGCGCACGATCCCCACTTCCGCCGTTGTTTCTCACTGCTTCCTTGATCCACAACAGAAAGCGTTTTAGCTTACTAGAATCCTATAGATAGCGCTACGTCATTTGGAAGAAAAGACATTATATTAATCGAGCGCCATCTTCCAACGGTTTTGCCATTAGGGTGTATCCACAATATTTCGGCGACAAATGTTACACAGTTACACCAATGGTCTGTCTAAACCACCTTAGTTGTCTTCATCCCGCTTTTAATTTTGATTAGCGCTATGTGCTTTTTAAACTTCACTAGTAAATAAATTAGGTTCTCTTTACTCTGTTTCTGTTGTCAAGGAAACCGAGACGCTGAGAACGACGCCATCTACTGTTATCTTTATTGCATGAATCTCGATTCTTTGTTTTGTACTACTATTGTTGTCTGTTAATAGCGTTAGCAATAACTAGTGAAAAGAACATGAAGTTACAGCTACCCATCTAGATACAACTGAGCACTAATAAATGTAGAGCTTCTCTTTCCCCATGTCTAGTAATATTATATGGCTGGTTTGCAACGCCATCAGTCGCTTATAAGAGACACTATTACTTGTTCTTAAGCGCCGGAAGTCAGAGAAACGTTTTAAAACGTTTAAAAAAGTTTAAAGACAATGTTTCCGAAATCTATTGTAAATGTATTGATAGTAATAAAAAAGTAAATAAAAATAATTATTCTAAATTATTCGCAGGGTTATAAATATTTATTGAATTTTAAAGAATCTAATATAAACTGAAATCATTCACACTTTGATACTTTTATGCATTTTACGTTGTTACTCTTGTTAAACAATTACATTATATATTCTAAAATAACCGTGTATACACATCAATTTAATACACTATAATATTAAAAATTATACTTCACAGCAGAATGTTTTTCCATTAAAAAGGTGTTGTAACTTTTTAACATTTATTTTCAAACGAAAGAGAAATCTTTTACAAAAATATTATTTTCAATATCGTATAAAACCAATGGTATTCTAGTACTAATACTAATATTTAAGTTCATACAAACTCAAGAAATGTGGAATGTCGATTATCTGATATTACTCGTAATATTTTACCTGAAATTTAAGTAGCTATTTTCAATAAAATAGTACTATTAAAACGATGTAACAACAAATGAATTTCACAAACTATATTACGTAAAATACTTAATGAAGAATAATAACTTTTTTTGGAACAATATGTAACTAAAAGATATCACTGATTCCTTACAACATATGTTTCTAGAGTCTTTCTAAGCATAGAAATACTCACCACTATTTTTTTGTCTGTACGAAATATATTAAAATATTAATGATATATTATATTAAGAAACACTTCGAGTAAAAATAGAATGTTCGGTATTAATTTTCTTCTTCGTTTACTAATTGACTCTGTACATCAGCTGCATCAATTTCTGTCTTAACTCTAACTTCGTCCTCTTCATCTGTTGTTCCCGATGTATTTGCGAGTTTTAAATCTTCTTTATCCGAGTCTTCTTCCTTATCATTACTTTCATCCAAAGATTTTTCCGTGTTGTTATTACTAACTATTGTTTCCATTGAACTCAATGTTTTCTTATCTGCAGTTTTGTTCTCTCTTGCATCTCCATTTTCCTCTTTCACTGCTGCTCCCTTCTTTCCCTTTCCTTTTTTTGTCGCTACTACATTTTCCTTAGTTGCTTTCTCTTGTGCTTCTTTGACAGCTTTTACTGATTCTGTGTCATCTCCATTAGTGTTATCAACATTACGTTGAGCAGTTTTACCACGAGTTTTACTAGCTTTCTTTGATGCTGCTGTTTCCACCTTTTTTTTTACATTTTTCCCTTTTTTCAACGGTTGAGCAGGTTCTGTCTCCTCTATCTGGTTATTTTGGACTTCGTTATTTTCATTATCGCTAACATTAGCAGCTTCCGAGGAAGATGATTCCTCTGCTACTTTCGAGTCTTCGTCATCTTTTAATGCATCTTTACGACCTCTTGTTTTCTTAGCAGTGGTTTTTGCAGGTTTACTGTTGGCTACTTTTCTTGTTGGCTTTGCAACTACATTTGCCTCTTCTATAATAATAATATTATTTTACTCTCATTAATATCAATATCTTTACCACTATCATTAATAAATATTACCTTCTGTTTCATTATCAACCTTAGCTTTTTTACGGCTTGCTTTTGCTTTTGTGTTATTCTCTTTTATCACTGCTTCAGTATTCGCCTGCTTTTTCTTCTTTGCAGTTGGTTCTTCTGAAGTATCTGTGCTCTCGGTTATACCTTTTTTGCCTTTCTCCTTGGGTTTTGCTTTAGCTATTATTGACAAATTATTCTATCAATATGCATATACTAAATTACAAAATAATACACATTCTTTGTTGAAAAGAAACTAAATATTTATGAAAAACAAAATAGAAATGTAAAAGTACAGATAAAATTTATTAAAAAATATCAAAATTGTACTTACACGAATTCGTATCGATATTTTCTTCAATTTCTTTATTCTTTTTAGCGTTTGCTGCCTTAGCATTTGAGTTTGCCTTTGTTGAAGCATTTTTGGCGGTCGACGTCTTACTTGTTGGCTTTGTTTTCTTCGTTACATTGGCGGTCTCGACTTGTTCAGTTTTCGCTGATTTCGCGGCTCTCGGTAATCGAATCTGTTTTTCTTCATCGACTTTACTCGCGGCCTTTAGCGCGGTCTTTTTCCTTTTGGGAGGCGATACATCGCCGGCTTCCGCGGTCTTCTCTACAACCTCCGCATCAGCACGTTTCACAACTTTCCGGGGTGCCATCGCACACTTTCAATCGTATAATCGTCTTCGAATGGATTCACTTAATCTATTTCTCTTATATATTACCGGTTTTAACGAAACGAAAAGTCCGTTACGATCTACGTATCTTAATTCTTGATGATTAACCGGCTTCTCAACGTGCTACAAGTTCTGCGATGTTCGTAACTTACATGACTAACATACTTAGTAGCAGATTGGCTGTTTCAATTTCGGTGTTGGTTTGATAATCGACAATCGATCTTTGAATTCACAAATGGCGCCCAAATTATTAACCGTTTATTAAGTGCTAGAAAAAAATTTAGAATAGAACATTTGGATTTGCGTTATGTATTTCTTAAACTTCTAATAAATCGAAGGAATTTTTTTACGCAGTTTCTTTGCAACACTTAAGAATCAAGCCTAATGACTGCAGATTTACTCCTTTGCAACTGTTTCGCGCCTATCGCAATTTCTGAATGAAATGAAATTTATTAATTTGTATCTTTTATAGATCTATTTCTCTATAGAGGAGAATGATTTTACAACAGTTTTGTATTATTAAAAAAGTAAATAATGATATAAACATTTGGCGCGATAAATACGTAATCGATTTTACGGAAAATACGCCGGATATAGGCTTTTCGATTAATGTGCGTATATCGATAAGTCATCAGTTTAAAATAAGACGTAACACTTCTTTATTTTCTTCGTAATTAATTCAGAACGTCAATAATATGGTAACTTATTTCTTCTTTTTAATTAAAAATGATTTTATTAAAATCATAAACGTACTTATGTTATTACCATTATTTTGCACTTATGTATCTCGGACATTAGTAGGATGAGTATAATAGAAAATAAATTTGATTTATGTATATTTACTTTCATTTATAAGAATTCAGACTTCGTATTTACTATCATACTTACATATAATATTTATAGAAATGTATTTGATAAAATTACTAAATAATAGGAACTATATATTTTTCAGTAATTTTTAGAACGTTTATCATGAAAGCAAGTTTGAACGAACATCCTTCCAATGATGAAGACTGGCGTGTTATCGCGAGCCACTATGACGCTTTCTGGAAACTGTGTTTAATTAAAAGTTTTATCGATAAATTTACTAAAAATTGATACACCGAAAAGAAATCATTCGACCGTTCATTGTAAATAACGTCAAGCGTTCATATCTACAAGAATTTATAAAGGGTAACTGACATTGACATCATAACCTATAATTGTTGTTTTGAAGTTGTTTATTAATAAGAAAACTGTTCTTTAAAGATGAATGCCAGCAAGAAAATCAATGTAAATTTTTCATCCTTGGTGGGTTTGAAAGCAGAACTTTTAAGGAAGCAGACTGAGGTTAATGAAGTCAAGTTGAAATCGGAAATCAATCGTACTATACCAAAGGTGAAAAAGAAGATTAAAAAGGTTAAGGAAAAGAGTTCAGAAGGGAATGTAGAAAAGGCAGAATATATTGAAGATGTGAATACTCATAAAAAATCAAAATTAATGCTGGAGGCAAAAGCTAGATTGTATGAACGGTTAAAAAAATCCAAAAATAATAATGACAATTTCCTTGTTGATTTTACAAACAAATCAGATGAATCCGAAGAGGAAACATTATCAAAAGATGAAGAAGAGGATATTAATGCACCATTTGTAAATGAAGATGAATGGGTAGAATACGAAGATTGTTTTGGTCGTACAAGGAAATGTTTGCGAGAAGATTTATCCCTGATGCAAGAAAAGGATAACTTAATAAAGCAACAAATTGTAAATAGGAAAGATATTGATTCGAAAACTAAAGATAACATTGGACAAGCCAATGTAGAAGAGGTGAAAGAACCTGAAATAGAAATTATGAGAAGAAAATGGGAAGAACAAACGCAGAAGTTAACTGACAAAGTGAATATACATTATCAAGACATTTTATTTGATGAAGCTAGAGCTCATGGTGTTGGTTACTATGCATTTTCACAAGATGAGGAGCAGAGAACAAAGCAACAAGAGAACTTATTTAATTTAAGAAGGGAAACAGAACGAAAACAAAGAGAAATTAAAGAACTGAAAGAGTTGCGAGATAGAATGGAACATAATAGGCTGAAAGCAGCTAGAATTAGGCAAAGAATTAGGGCAGGATTACCAATAGAACCAGAAGAAGAGACAGTTGAGGCAAAGGAAGAAAATGATTCGAATGCACGTACGTTACAAACAACTAATGTGGAACAGACAACTGAAAATAAAGAAAAAAATTGTGACAAAGAAGAGAAGAGTGAAGAAGAGAAAGCCATAGATAAGGAAAACAAAATAAGAGTTTTAGGAAAATTATTGGGTAAGAGAAGCCATTGGTATGAAATGTCTCAAGAAGAATGGGTGCATAAATGTAGGAAAGTCAGAGTTAATGAATTTGGACCAGTGTATGATAATTTTGAAAGCAATGGCTATTTAATCCCTGATGACAACAATCAGAAATCTTATACTACTGAAGCAGTTATTCAGAATGAAGTAGACAATGATAATAAGAACATAGATTCTTATGATATACCTCTCCCTTCCACTTTGGAAAAAAGTGATATCAGTGTTGAGGACAATACGCTTCTACAAAGAAATCTCACTACCCAACATGAGTCTGATGTGGTAGATACTGTTCCTAATAATACACAGAATCAAGTGAAAGTTAATAGAAATATAGATGAAGCGAGTATAGCAGCAGGTTTAAGGTATTTGAGAGAAAAATTTGAGGAAAGCCAAAATGTCTGAAACGTTATACAGTAAAATAATTATTATGAATTGTATATGTATTTGTAAATATAATTGTTGAACATGTATTTAAGGAATTGGTTTTTCAGTCAGTAGTTTTTATTTTTTAAAAGTTTACTGATGGATGCTTATGATGTTCTCATATTTTCACATTTCACTGTTTCCAAATCATCATTTGTATCTATATAAAATAAGTTTAATAGAAATTAGTTACAATAAAATAATGAATTAATAGTTGCATAGCAGATTAAGAAAAATGTTACCAGATAAATCTATATTTGGAAATACAGAATCACAAGTAGGGCAGGTCACAGGATTATAAATCATGGCGTATCGTTTTAAACAATGTAAATGCAATAAATTTTGACAGTTGTTACATCTTTCACCCTAGATAAAATAAACAATATTTTACATCAAAGCACCACAAACAACTATTGTACAAATTCATTGCAAAACCTTACATGAAAAATGACTTGCTTACAAAGACAACATGTACTTAAATTATTCTCATAGGTAGCTCTAAAATATGGCATTAATTCTGTTATACTTCTTACACCTATATAATAATTACCATTCTGTAAAAATAATAAGGTTTAAACAAACAAATCATATAAATGTATCATTTACTCCTTCATTATTACCTTGTAAGCTAACCATTTTCTATTAACTATATCATTTAAAAATTCTTCGGCTTCTGTTATAGACATCTTAACATCCGACAAAGAACATAAATTAAGACAAAATATACTTGGAGCACATCCATTACTCGATGTTATAATTTCAGAAAATATATTCCTTAATAAAGCTAATTGTGCTTTTGAAAACTCCTCCTGAAATCTATAACAATAAATGATTTTAAGAAAAATAAATGTCAACAAAATCTAAGATATGTACCTAGTTACTTCATCAAGCACGGTGCTTACGAAAACCCAATAGAATTCACCTGTAATTTCACACTGAGCTCTTTTGATCAACATGTTCAAAGGCTGTAATTGTTCATTTATATGATTTATTACTAACGACACCTTATCATCATCTAAAATGCATAATTTCACTCATGAAATATACGTGCAACACAAAACAAACATATACATATGTATACATTAAATAAACATAATAAATAAACACAAAATAAAACTCTTACTAAATAATTTGATAACCAAATCTTTCGCTTTATTCTCGTTCAGAAGACCTTCATGCATAATTGTTTGTAAAAGTATTTTGTGCTGTTTCGTATAAACCATTTTCATATTATTATTGCTGCTAAAAACGAAAACACAACTTGAAGGTTACTGTTGCTTAACAAACTATTCGTATTTACTGTGTGTTTTTTATTTACACGATTTATAATTAGTAAGCAACTTTCAACAAAACATTTAGCTTAAAGTTACAGCAACAGAATTAACAAATAATTTTTCAACGCATTTCCCTTGTGATATACATTCTTGTTCCACTGCAGATTCAGACAAGAGATTCTCCGAACAAAAGTGAAACGACCAGTGATTTCGACCTAATAAAGAAGAAATGTTGAGAACCGCTGTTGCGGTGTGCCGTGCTTTCGCCGCACCACTATCGACGGATCAAAGTAGTTCGAATACTGCAGTATCGCAAACAAAATTTGGGGGAGACAGAAACACCAAATTGCATTATTCCCATACGTATAAAGAAATTGGTGGTTGGCTGTCGACGAACAGTGCCATGACACTAACAAGGTAACATTTTTTATATCCTCGCTTAAACCACGTTTCCTTTTATTCCACGCATTTCCGAAATAGAGGGAACAAGTCTAAGAACTGCAGATTCGAACCTCCAGTACGAGTTCTCGTTTGTGATCGTCTTAGATTCGCTCTCCTATTACATCGTTACAAATTATGTCATTCATTTTTTTCTTATTATATCATTGCAAAAGAAAAACAACGTAGAGAGTAAATTGATTTGACAATATAGATTCGCTATATGAAAAATGATTACGTTAGGCGCGGGAAAATTTGAGTAAGAACAATTAGGGACTTCCCCAGTGGCTTAATCGTATAAGCTCGTTAAGTAAGAAGCGAGAATGCCGTACGAGCTCGAAGTCCTCTGTCGGTGCATTCGCGAAACGTGAGCGCGCTCGACAGAAAAATATGATCCGTTTGTATATTAAGATGTATTTATTGGAAACGGCGAAAGGGAATGCGGTTGTAGAATAAAGCGAGGTGGTAGACAAGCTAATACATATAACGTAAAAGCTATCCAGTTATATAGTACTGGGTGTACAGCAAGGGCGCGAGGCCGCGACCCTGAGCCCGATACGCGCGACGCGGAATAGAGCGTTTTGGTAGCGAAATAGTGCGCGGAACGAATACGTGTCAAACGCGGTCCACGAATAAGCAAAGTAGAACGTCGTGCAGTAAGAGACACGGGTGTGCGTTATCATTTACGTGCGTAAAGGTCGAGAGTTCATGATCATTCGGCAGCTTAAAACGATGATCTTACAAGCCGTTTGACGACCGTCTTCTTTCTTCGCTTTATTCCTTACTGGCCGACGATCAGAGGCTAAAACCCACCGCGGCGGACCAGAAACGCGTTTGCTCGGCCGATTCCCGTGAAGTGAACGGATAATCTGTCAACAATTGGCAGCTCGTGCATTCGGGGGAACACGTTGGAAAGTTGAAGCAGTGCTGTGGAACTGTTAGAATATTGCGGCGGTACCAAGGACTGAGGATGCCGCTTTTCGGTAAAAAGGACTCGAACAAGAAGATCAAAAAAGATGGGAAAGATGACAAATCCCCGTCCGTTGAGGACAAATACGTCTTGAAGGAGCTGCTGGGAACGTATGTACTTACATAAAATAGGATAGCCTATATATCATGAGAAAAAAAGAATACACTTTCACGATCGAGAGATATTTCCGAGTGTCGCGAGTCGGACTCGATTAATGTCTGCAGAAATTTTTCTACAATATGTTATTATGTACTTATTAAATGCGGTATATATATGTGTACGTATATATACGTATGCATATACATATATGCGTATACGTGCATATATATGTATTATATTGTATTACATAGATTCGCGTGTAATACATGCAAATTCAACCTTTCCAATATATATGAATTATATAAATAATTTTAAGCTGATAAATTTAATACATCATCATCTACTGACACAATTTTTTATTATAATTATTATATTTCATTGATTATGAATGTTTCAATAATAGATACAGCTTATATGCTGTGGATATAACATAAATGTTGAAATGTTAATTGCATGCCTTAATTTTTTACATACATTTATGGGCAAGATAATATATACAGTGAAATATCTGATATATGCATACATACATTTCATAAATTTTGTTAATCTTTCGTAGGTAGTAGTTAAGAGAAAGTATATTTTGTATTTGTCGTTCAATTGTATTCTCCACGCGTTGAGAATTATGTACCAAAATATGCTGAAGTTAATTGCACATTGTCAGTCATTAAATGGGAAAGTCTGGCACTAAATGTGTGACATATTGCATTAATGAGCAATTGAGAATAATTGTATAAGCTCTTTTATATTCTCGTACAATATTTTAACTTATAATTGGTATGTTTTTCATTTTGTGTGGTTGCTTTTATATTACACATTTCGAATGAATAAAATTTTATACCTTACGCAATAATGAATGAATATAATTTCATTATTTAGCACTTAATGTTCTTTCATGGATAAAGATGAAATTGAAAGATTTATAACCAATAGGATATGAGTATCATTATTAAATTAATAAAATGTATTATTATATTTTATTTTATATGTTTATTACAATAGAATTTTAAATTTTTAGAGGTGCTTTCTCTGAAGTACGCCTGGCAGAAAGTAAAGAAAAGCCTGGTCAGATGTTTGCAGTGAAGATCATTGACAAAAAAGCCTTGAAAGGGAAAGAAGATTCTTTAGAAAATGAAATCAAAGTATTACGAAGGTAAAACTTGCTATATATGTTCTTTTGTGTGAAAATATATCACTTACATCATTAATTCAATACATATTTGTTACAGGCTAACACATCCAAACATTGTTCAACTATTGGAAACATTTGAGGATAAGCATAAAGTTTATTTAATTATGGAGCTGTAAATATTATTTATTACTATTTAGAAAACTTCTTCAATGTAAATCAACAATTTTTTCTCTCATTCCTTTAGGGTTACCGGTGGAGAGCTTTTCGATAGAATAGTTGAAAAAGGTTCCTATACAGAAAAGGATGCATCAGGTTTAATAAGACAAATCCTTGAAGCTGTGGACTATATGCATGAACAGGGTGTCGTACATAGAGATCTAAAACCTGAAAATCTTTTGTATTATAGTCCAGATGAAGATAGTAAGATTATGATTAGCGATTTTGGTTTATCAAAAATGGAGGATTCTGGTATCATGGAGACTGCCTGTGGTACTCCAGGATACGTTGGTAAGTTTGTAAATTGTCTTCGCAAAGAACTGAACATATATTTACAAAAAGCATTAAACATGTATGTATTTATGCAGCACCAGAAGTCTTAGCACAAAAACCGTATGGAAAAGCAGTTGATGTTTGGAGCATAGGTGTTATATCTTACATTTTATTGTGTGGATACCCGCCGTTTTATGACGAAAACGATGCTGTCTTGTTTGCACAAATTTTAAAAGGTAATACAATTTCTTTTGGGAGGAAACTTATTGCATTTGGAAGGACTATACTTTCACTTCAATTTAGTTACTACTTTTAGGATCAACAGCAAATGCAGCTGTATATTAACTTGAAATTTTCATTTTTAAGGTATTATTCTAGTTTTTGTATGGCGCTATATACATGCTAGCGTAGTAAGTAAATGATAAATCTGTGTGCGATATCATATTTTTGTTTCTAAAACTTATTAGGTGTTAATTTTCAAAAAATGAAAGAAAAAGTATTATAAGTTCAAAAGCGACAACTATTACGAAGACTTTAACGCGACTTAAAATTGATGTCCTCTTTTTTTTTGTCAAAGTGTGAAGCTAACAGTATTTCTTCCAAATAAATCGTTTAATTTAAATGAAATATTTCATAATAAAAGAAGATCGTCTACTCTATAGCAAAGAGCTAACCAGACTGTTATAGGTGAATTTGAATTTGATTCGCCGTTCTGGGACGATATCAGTGATTCTGCAAAGGATTTCATTCACAAGTTGATATGTGTCAATGTTGAAGAGCGCTATACTTGCAAACAAGCCCTTGCACACCCTTGGTAAGATCATTGTTACTTTCAATATTTCATAGAATTTATCATTTGATATATACATTTGTTCCTCTATATGAATAAATGAATAAATAATAATGCAGTTACACAGAAAAATTAGCAAGATTCTATAAAAGCTTTAGTTCATATTCTGGGTTCTGATTACTTCAAAAGTCATGCTTTAAAGCTTAAGCGATAAAGATATTACAGGAACAGAATTGCCTTTTATAATAAAGTAAATATGGATTCAGTAAGTAAAAAGATTACGTTTATCTTGTCATTCATTAACTTAACACATTCTAAGAGTACTCGTTACATTCCCAGATGTGCACAGTAATGAACAATGTCTTACATATAGAAAATAAAAATTCGCATTATCCCTGTATGAAATTGACAAAATATCCTCAATTAAAAACTTGAATTCCTTAACACAATAAAAGTCGATCATTAAATACGGTTAACACGTTGGTTGCCGATTAAACTTTACGAGAAATTCTTGATATCAGTAATATATTATTATTAGCGTATTTGAATGACGGCAGTGAACGTGTTAATAAAATAATATATTTCTCAGGTATTACAGTATCTATGTTGTTTCTAATGTGGAGTCGTGGGATTAATTTTTCCAGGATATCCGGCAACGCGGCTAGCAATAAAAATATCCATGGTACTGTATCGGAACAACTTAGAAAGAATTTCGCCAAATCAAAGTGGAAGGTTAGTATAATTGAATGATTATCAAGCCGCTGATTGTATGTGTTTGCTCGCCAGGCTCCGTAGGAAAGTCTTCCTCATCTCTCATGGTTGCAGCAAGCCTATCACGCAGCCAGGGTCATACATCAAATGCAACGGCTGGCTCTCAACAGCAGCCAGCAGCAGCAGGGACCAGGATCAACAGGCCCCTCCAGCGGCAACCTCACGCCATACCCCGATCAATCGCAATCCAACAACCCCAGTTACCAAGCCAGATCGTTGGAGTCTCAGAGCAACCTCAATTGAAGCAAATACTTGAGCCACCGTTGCCCGTATCAAGCTTGGTGGTCTCGAATCCTATTCCCATTCCGGTCACCCCAAACTCACCACTATACGTACGCAACAAACGCTTCAAGCTGTGGGGTAGCACACGCACCGCTCTGTCTACTCTCTTTCAAACAAATATGTCGTATCTTAGAAAACAACGGAAATATAAGAAAAGCTGAGTTACGCGGGGAAATGTTCCGTCTGCGAGAAACTCATGGGATATGCCATTCGGGTATGGCGTCTTAATCCTCTCGCCAGTATTACTTGATTTGGCAGAGGTTTGTATAGATTCCAGCTAATCCGCTTTTATCGGTGGCATCCTATGACACGGATGCCACCCAGTTATGTACAGTACAGACCTATGTAACAGCCCGCACGATATAAGGCGATTTTCCAAGTCTTTTTCGTTTCGCTGGCTCTGTTCGGACATTCATAAATAGAGCTTCACTGTGTTGATATCTATTCACATTAGAATCGAATATTCGTAGTCGTCAATAGAAGTTTCATAACAATGTGTTAACGATATCTTGATTTGATCGAGTAAGACGTAAACCGTAGTTGCGTATTCGAATGATGTCACGCACACGACACTTTTCATGATACTTTTAAAACGAATCTTGCTGGATCAAATCTAAATGAATATGTATAAAAATGAAAAGGACTAATATAAAACAGTACAACGACAAGTTTTTATCTTTTATAAAGTTTCGAGTAACGACTAGTGGCTGTTTAGATGATTTTTTGCAAAGTAATAGCCTTATTGTATCCTGGCAAATATGTTTCGAGTTTCGTGAATACAGCTTCTTGCCCGAAAGATTCGAGCAAATTATATACCATGGGGTGTAGCATATTTTCAAATAGCATTTTGATAGCTATTAAAAAAAGACAAAATTAGCGAAATGATTTTCGTAAAACAGAATCGCTCCTATCTGATAAAGAAGATCCTGCCGCACGAATTCGTATCGCAGGGTTGAATAAGATCTGATTTCTATTAACTCTTGTTCTCACGTTTTCTTGTTAATTCGTATGTGTAATATATTTTATTTTATAACATAGGTAAACACGAGTGTTTGTAACAAGCCATGTACAGTGCACTGCATTACAAAATGTACATTCTGTACGCAGTATACTCTTTTTGTTATATAGTGATATTACTATATTTTTAAGAAACTAAATCAGATCTGTTAAACTATATTTAATATGTGTATACATACGTGTATATTGCTGTACTGATATTTTTAACGATACGTTGCACCAACAAAATTTCAGTAAGTGTGTACATAATATATACACAATTCTTCTTTCTCTCTATTTGCGAGATGCAAATATAAAAAGCAAATTATATAGTTTCAGGTTTCAGATTGTCACACGATCCCGTAAGAACACAGTTGCACGATATAAATGCCTTAACCGAGTTCATTTTCATTCTGTTTCTCTTTTTCTGGAAATATTTCCAACCGCGTTTTCGCTTCTTCTTTCGATAATACAAAAATCAAACTTTGCGTGTTTCTCGAATTTTTGGAAGAATGAAATCG